AATCGGATGATTTGAGTTCATGAAACTTTAAAAGTAATCTTTTAGAATTCCAACCTTATTTTAAATCATTTGAACCACATATTTTCATGATAGTCAATTCGATTAATGGTAAGCTTCCACAAATTGAAAACACATACGCTATCAATTGTAACTTGAGAAATGGGCTCCTTCAATAAATTCTAAATGAAAAATCTTTAACATGCCAACCAAACTAAAAAAAAAAAAATTGATAAATGTATAATAGGATGACATCATAACTCAAAAATGAATAGAAGTATAATAAAATGGCATTATTCGACATGACAACGATATAACATAGTGAGGTTTGAAAAAACACTACAAAATGGAGATTCTAATGATGAAGTAACTTTAAAGTATAGAGGAATTTAGCATAATCCAAGGACTCCCGTCCGGGTTTCCAACCAAAATGTTAAATGCATTGCTTCCTCCCCCAACTGCTTATGTCATTTTTCCCAACTTCCTTGTCGCCTGAATAACTGGTTTTGGAGGCATTTGGGTAGGGACTCAAGTCAAGGGTTCATACAATAAAACATGAATAAAATAAGAATATTAAGATCGAAAAAACAATTATTTTTAAAAGTATTATACTTAATCCATAAATAAATTAAATTAATTAATTGATAAATAAATAATTTAATTTATAGATGAATGAATAATTTATAATATATTGATAAATTATGTAAAGTGATTTCTAATCAAAACTACAAAAAAATAAAAAATAAAAAAATTGACAGATGTTGAGCATATCTTGAATTATCCTAGTGAAAGTGATTCATTAGTGGAATAACCTACTGACAAAGAAAGATACTGAATATGCCCACTAGAGATGATTACAGTTTGGATGATAACTGTTTTTTACTGATTGTTTCTCTACAAGTAGTCTTTCAAGAATCGCATCTTTAAAATAATTACTTTCTACAAAAAATAAAAATAAAATTCCAATATGCTCTGCAAAAAATTAGAGATGATGTTGAATTCGGTTTTAGTACCCAAAAAAAAAAAAGCAACTTTAAATGCATATTTAAAAAAAAAAAAAGAATAAAAAAGAATAAAATCAATTGAAAAGGCAGCAGTTAAGAACAAAGTTCATTAAGGTCATAAAATGATAGATTATGATAATTTACTATATGATTTTACTTAAATATCTCTATGATTTTTGGATTTACTCTATAAGGGTGTATATATTGTAAATTCTATTGAAACCTTGTAAATTAATATTTTAACTTCCATTGAAATGCAAGAGCACAAGAATGAACTCAGTTAATGACATCCATAATCTCATAGCTTATATCAAAGCTTTACCAGCATCATTCTTATCAAATAAGAAACCTCTAGTAATCTCTAGGAGTTGGCGATTGCATCGTTCGGCAACACCATTTTGTTGTGGTTATTAGCACAAAATGTTTGATGAATGATGCCTTGTGACTCAAGGAAAATATCAAGGTCGTTTGAAATATATTAACCTCCATTTTTTGAACGCAACACTTCGATAGTAGTAGAAAACTGAGTTGGGACCATAACGCAGAATTGTTTAATAACATTCTTTACATCACTCTTGTGCTTAAGTAAATAAATTCATTTAATTCGACGGCAATCATGAATAAAGATAATAAATCATCGCATACCACAAGAAGTAGAATGTTGAGATGGTCCCCATACATCTGATAAATTAAAGTAAACGGCATTGATGTTACAGTATCACTTTTTGGAAATTTAGAATGGTGGTTTTTAGCTACCGTCTCACGAGTATAATATTTTGATTCTTTATTATAAGACTCAAATAAAACAGGTAAAATATGCTTTATATAGCCAAATGATGGATGTGCTAAGCATTGATGCCATAGCCAAATTAGTTTCAAAAGCAGAAGTACATAGAGCATAACTAAAGTTACCCGACTTTTCCTCATCTCCATTACAAGTGATTGAAGACTTGAAGTAGCAGCAAGTGATGGTCTACTTTCTTGTATTTTAGCAATAAGCTCATATGCCTAATCGGGTCGACCACGAAGTTTCCAAAAACAACAATACTGGATAAATTTTTCACATATCCATCTCTTTTTGAGAAAAAATATATAGAGGTATACAAATAACTAATTGTTCTAGTTAAAATAATTATAGAAAAACTCCAAGTAACATATCAATCTGAAAGCCATAGTGATGTTTCCTATAATTAAGCACAAATCATGCCAACAAAATGTAGTTTTGACACCATTACAAAGTAATGAATTTTTGTAGGTAAGAATTGTGTCTCAATAGTAAAATATTTTTTCTCCAACCAATCAAATGATGAAGATAATGTAACTTTCCTTCAGTTATGTGTAGAAACTCATGGACAAATTGATGCTCATAAATTCCATAATTTATCCTAGCTTAACTAAAAATTTCGAAAAGATATGGACAGAAATGAGTTTTGCTCATTTTCTAGGGAATAAATTGCAAATGATCATTGTAGGATAATAATTGTAAGAATACTATTCCTGGTCAGAAATTGCAATTCAAGTTCATATTTGAGACGTAGAAAAATTGTTCTGGAACATACTTATGCGATAACAATTGTTACGTTTTTCTATTGCAAGTGTACAATATCATAACAAATAATATAATGGATCTTTGAATCCGGATTATTGTTTCCACGAGAATTATACTTTAGGACTTAATCTGATTTTTCTAACTCCTATTTGATGAAAGCAATCAAAGAATTATATGTTGTTGTGATTTTTAGGTTTAAATACTTGAAATTAATTAAAATGCACACAAAGATTTATTGATAATTCAAATAATGAACGAATATTAGGGTATAACAATTTCACATATTAATCATCTTTAAGTTTTAAATCAAGATTAAAAAATTTAATGTAGTGTTCGATCAATTCTTCTATTGTATTCAATCACTCCTCTTGAATTCTCATTGAGTCTATTTAGATACGTTATACTAATTTACCAGGTTTTACTATGTGGTCAAAACTTCAAACTCACTTTTCGATTCCTAAAAGATTCATAAAATCATCAAATTAGTGATCAAGTAATTCAATACATTAAACTCATACCAAAATCAACATATGTATAATAAAATAACAAGAATCTTGAATCAAAGAAATAAAGAGTTCTACATAAATTACATTGTTTGTCTTAATATGAAATTTAGCTATTCATAATGAAAAGGAAAAACAAGAGGTGGTTATGAATTCAGAGCACCACCGAGATGATCGAAATAGTTCCGAATGTACATGTTACCCCAGATATTTCACCCAAGAGATTTTCTTATATTACCGGATTTTGAATAAAGATGTAGAAAAAGGAGATTAATTTTGCACAAAGATCTTCTTCCTCTTTCAATCAATGTTTCAAAACTTGAATTTCTTGATTTTTCTCATTTGAGTTGCGCTATTCAATCTCTAATTGTATTCTCACACTCTCTCTCTCTTTTAATATATGGAACTCCCTTTCAATTGCCTTATTTTCTTGTATTTATAGCCGCCCTCATTTTTAATTTTTTTGTAGGATTTTTATGGGCTTTGCGTGTAATCCCTTAATTAAATATAAAAGTCAAAGCTTAAAACTAAGTCAAAAATGTCAAGTTTAGGGCCTGTTGGTTGGCCATTAATTTTGCCCTTTAATGAATTATTTGACCGTTGAAAATAATTCATCTGACAACCCATGTGCTTGCCTCAGAACCTTTTTCTTCACACTTTCCATTTGTTGCCCTTACTCCCCAAAGGAAAACGCAACCCGTCTTCTGAAACCGCCGACTACCCGACAACAGACCCCAGCGGCCGATCACGAACTGAAATTGACGGTGGGTTTTCTTCAATTGCAGCAGCCGGGTGACAATTCTTCCAGTTCTCTGAAGACCCAGACAGTTTTCAAGGGCGCGCGCACCACCGAGAACGCCACCAAATAATCCCAGTCGCCCGTCCGGTTAGCTACGTCCTCCACACTCGAAAGGGCGCCGACCACATGGATCCCACCCGCACACCGGTAGGTCGTCGAACACGAACTTTTCTGATTCCGTCTACTTGTTCGTAAAACAACAACTTACCCGGACATTATAGGGAGTTCAAATAGTTTCTAGTGAATTTGTTAAACTGTAATTATATGTAGTAATCAACTTCGTTTGATGTTTTGGACTATGATTTTGGGCAAAATTGATATTGTGGCAGTTCGAAATGCACCTGCCTTTGGGTTCGTATCTCAACTGCCATACGCATTGCGCTACCATTTTTTTCGAAGTAGGATTAAATTGTTTCTAGTGCATTTGTTAAAATGTAATTATACTTAGTTATCAACTTCGTTGGATGTTTTGGAGTATGATTTTGGGCAAAATTGATATTGTGGCAGTTCGAAATGCACCTGCCTCTGGGTTCGCATCTCAACTGCCATATGCATTACGCTAACCATTTTTCCAAAGTATTTGTTTGGCCGTATACTCTTCTACGAAATCTATCCCTTGACCTATAATACCATAAACTGAGACTAGAATGTTTTATGCAATTTCTAGAACATAGTCTTCGTTAAACCCCTGCGCTTGTGCTCTCTGCATTCCCCCTTAAAATGATAGCATCGTTCATTCGTCTGTTTCCAAATTGAACTTCTGCACAACATCTTTTACGTGTACGTTCTTGTCAAGTTCAAATTTTTAATCTGTAGCTATTTTACAGACTTCATATGCGTATAATGAATATTAACGTAAAATGTTTTTTTGCGTGATGCCCGGCTTGTCTTTGCAGTGTGGACATGGCCTGCCACCCAGCTCATTCGTTGCACAGGAGCTGGGTCAAGCCTCAGGCGCAAAATCTTATGCTCGATGGAATGCCTTGGAGACCCAAACATTTATTGTAGCCTGTGAGACCACCATTGCCGAAGGCCATCGCAACGGTCGGTGTTTTACGAAACAAGGTTGGGCCCGAATCTCCACGCTGTTCAACTCAGCCACTGGGCACAATTGGACAAAGTAACAACTACGCAACCATTGGGACGCCATGCATCGAACCTACCGACGTCTCTCTTATCTATTAAAGGGTAGCGGGGTCGAGTACAACGAATCCACCGGTCGAGTCGTCGCATCAGAGGAATGGTGGAACAGAAAAATAAGGGTAACTATTTCAATTCGCGGCACACATATTTCACAATATGTAACCAAACAATCCCATTTAGTATTTTTCAGTACATTTGGAATGCCTTTTTTCGTATCTTCCCTCTTTTCTATCCCTCTTTTCGCAGGAGAATAAATACTACAGGGAGTTCAAAGACAAGGATGTGAGTGAGATATACATTCGCTATCGTACACTTTTTGGCGACAGCTACGATGGGGAGAAGTACGCGGTCACGCCGACTAAGTTGTGCCGAACGGGGTTCGGGTTGTTTGAGGACAGTGCGCTCGAAGAAACTCGGGATGCAATCCCCGTCGATGAGGAAAGTAGTGGTTCAAGTGACGAGGCTGAGCAAATGCTCGGTGGATCCCGCTTAAACGTATCTGACACCATAAGCGGTGGTAAAAGAAAGTCCTCCGGTGCGACGCGACGGGGTAAGAAGCAAAAAAATCTGCACGCGAGCTGTCGTTCTCCATCGACCGAGCCACAAGTGCCGCAGAGGAAGTGGTGGTGAAGCTTAATACCATGATGGGCTCAAATGACAACACCGGCACTGCCTGTATAGAGGAGCTACTGGCGGCTGGACGGCTCGAACGGCGTACACCTCTATACTTTTTCGCTTGTGCTATTCTGGCGAAAAGACGTTGTCAAAACATGCTCGCCTTTATGAAAGATGTGGATGAGAAATTTGAATGGATTGAGTGGTTTTTCAATGAGCGGGGCAAGTAATTTCACATTTCACTGTACGCGTTACATTTACTTGTGTGTTGTCACGAAAAATTGTTTCCCTTTCGTACTCAACTGTCTGTATCCTTTTAATAATACTGTATAAAAATGTGCTGCTTGCCTGTGATGTGCAAACCGTTTTAGATTGTTCACCATGATCATTTCATCGTGTTAATATTTTACATGTGCAACATTTCAGGTCAAACTGCTTGTAAAATGATATTTTCCACGATCTTGCCTTGCAAAGTTACCATGTACGCACGCGAAAAGTTTGGACGTTAAAAAAAATTGTTGACACTTAAAACTTGTGAAATTTGAAAAACTGTCACGAAAAGTTAGGGAGCAGAGATTGGATCAGAACAAAAAGATTTTCTACACAAATTCACGTTTCACGAAAAAATATTCTTTGCAGGTGCACCATTATTGGTGCATTTCCTACAAGAAGACGGCTATAGGACATTGTTGCACAGAATCTCTTGAATATTTTTTGTAAGTGCACAATTATTGATACAGTGCGTTCAAATTGACAGCTACAGTACACCATTGCACAGAATGTACTCCCAGTCATTCCCACTTTCTATAAAAAGCCATGCACGCAGTAGAAACGAAAAAAATGTTGAGCTTGAGGATGTGAGACGAACTTGCGTTCCACAGAATTCCATATCTCGCTGCTCTTGTGTAATTTTACCAATTGATCATGTGTTGCGTCACAACTGACGTCAACTTCAACTGCGTTCTGGGGTCCGACTCAGATGATGAATGCGATGACGACCAGTTTCTCTACAACTTGGTGATCGATGCCACCGCTTGGCTTTCATACTGCAGAATCGCCGACGATGACGCAAGAAAATATCACTACAGGCAACAGCGGCGTATACGACGTTTTTCTTTCTTAAGGAACTGTCACATGTTCATGATGGAGGCCATGGGCTAGAATAGTAAGATGTGCTTTGAAGAATTTTGTATGTATCCTGCAATGCTTTGACATTTTGCTCATGTGTTATGCGATGAGCATGGGCTACTTACGAACCAGCATGTTGACATCTACGAGCAAGTTGGTATGTTCTTATACATATTAGCGCACGGGAAGGGATATCGACAGGTGACAACAATTTTCAACCATTCTTTGGAAACTGTATGTCACTACATTAAAGAGGTTCTACGTGCGGTCGTTGCGCTTTCAGTGCGCATGATTCGTCCCAGTGAGAACTACAACGACGGTGTCGAGCCACATAGACCAGATCTGAGCAAACATCTATTGTTTGAAGATTGCATCGGAGCTATTGACGAAATGCATGTAAAAGTTGTGCTACTGCGACATGATCGTGTAAACTTCATAGGGCGGAAGGTGTGCCGACACAGAACGTGTTAGCTGCTTGTGACTTTAATTTATGCTTCACGTTCGTGCTTGCAGGGTACTCTGACAATACACATGATGCGCGCATGCTTGCACGTGCTATCCATGATCCGGAAATACATTTCCCATTACCGGTCCCGGGAAAGTACTATTTAGTTGACTCCGAGTTTGCTCATCGGCCTGGGTATATGCCCCCTACAAAGGGTCTGACATACTTTACCATTTCTAGCAGTTTCGAGACGAGAGAACGGGACGTCGTCATAGATTTCAAAATGCATGAGAGAAGTTTAACTTCAGGCACTCGTCCTGCAGAAATGTCATTGAACGTGCATTCGGTGTGTGAAAAGAAATGTGAAAGATCTTGGATCGCATGCCCAGCTACCTATTCCGAACACAAGTAGCCATTGTAGTTGCGACGATGGGAATACATAATTTCATGAGGCATTCAGGAGTGGTTGACATTGCGTTCACGAGAGCGGAGGTGGATGAAGATGCAACTGAGGTGGAGCTTCCCAACGTAGAAGATGAAATACAGGCCGAAATACATGCACCGAAAATCCAACGAAGTGAGTGGGACAGATTTCGAGATTATATGGCACAGCAGTCATGATGCCAATACGTTTCTAAAATATTCAAAAGCCTTGCATGTACGTCTTATGAAAATGTTTGCTTTCTTGGGTGTAAAAAGTGAAATGCAGTAGGGGCCAATTATTGACCATCCTTCAGGAAAGTATCATAGGTCAAAGTATTTCCCTTTTTTAACGTGTTTACGGTATGCTTTTCCTCGGTACAATGAACTATATTTTTTTCTCCGGACCTACACAGTTGTACAGTGTTTCATACGAACAATTATTCGCGTTGAAGTCGTATTTTTCCTTCATTTCGAACACACCCTTCACTTTACTCGTCGCGTAACAAATGTTCACCGTGCGATTTCAAATTTTTTGTACGTAGCGCTTCGTCATAAAATTAAAATACTTCTATTCGTAGACACTCTCGAGAGCAGTTGATATAGTGAAATGTTTCCAAATTCAAGTTTTTTTATTTTTCGAAGTTACTTTTTTTGAAAACATAACCTATTTTCGTACAAAAGTATTTTATTATTTACAACGAACATATACGCTAGAATTAGTGTACAATTGAATTTCAAGATGGTCTTTATCATTTTTCATTTTCGAAATTTTTTTGGAAAAATTCGATAATTAACGTGAAGTGAAAATCACCGTCCGCATACATTTTAGGTTCGCGTAATGTTACAATTGCTGCCGGATTTCTGTGATAACCTTTTAAACCAATACGGTGGGCGACGACGGAGGGCCCAGTTCATGTACAATAATTGAAACACGTTTGGTGGGGATGTGTTATGAAGTATTGGGAAATGTGTAAAAAATCAATTCATTTGACTTTTCAATATGTGGAAGCTACCAAATTCCTGAATGCTTGACAAAGGGTAAAGTTGGAAACTTAGGATTTTTCAATTCAAATCAAATGATAAAATATTGGTGTAGGTCCCACATTGATTTGATGGAAAAAATGCATTTGAGATAAAAATGGGAACCAAACGGGGGCTTAATATATGCGCGCACAGAGAGAGAGAGAGAGAGAGAGAGAGAGAGAGAGAGAGAGAAGCAAAGAAACCAACTGACGCAAAGAAAAAGGAAAGAAAGAAGAAAAGAAAAAGAGGAAGAAGAAGTGGAAAAGAAAATAGGAAAGTTGCCAACGTGATTAGAAAATAAGTGGTTTATCCTATTAAGCCCAAATTCTTCAATTTCGACAAGTAAAATGTTACTTATTCAAAAGTTAATCTTATTGAAAGGGAATTATTGAATTAAGTATAGTAAGCTATGAAATTAAGTTAAAGGGAAGAAAAATAGCTTAAATGATTAAAGAAATTGGGAAAATTGCCCAAGTATAAAAAGACTAAAATTTAGTATTGCCTACTTAACTGCTGAACTTACTTAAAATGATTAATTGTTAATCTAAACATTATATCTTATATCAGGTGACGAATATCTAGACAGTTTACCAACCGAGTTGATTTTGCATACATAATTAAGTGAGTGGAAAACTAAAATATTTTCAATGTTTGGTAATTTAATTATTCTATTATATTATGTACAGTTATATGTTCAAGTACAGAATTATTATAGAAAGTCTCTTTTACTATGATTAGTAGTAAGTATGTGTGTTGCACGTCTTATGTATCGATGAATGATATACGCACTAGTTTTGAATTACTAATACCATTTTTTAAAATAATAGAAATAATTGATATTGATAAAGGGAAAATTACAATTGACACACACTTATCAAATTATGTATATGATGTGAAAATGTTGAATAAACTAAAATGTAATAATATGATTGCAATAATACTTCTTTGTATACAATATTTTTTGTCAAGGTCCCACATGTTTTCTTCTTTTGCTTTTACTAAAACTTTTATTGTTTGCATTGAAACTCCGCGAAAAATTGCGATGTATAGTTGCCAATGAGAGGATACATGTTCAAGAAGATATTTTCCAACAGTAGGCAATGTTTGTCCTTGAGCATTGTTAATTGTCATTGCAAAGCATAGATGTATTGAAAATTGTTTCCTCTTGAATTTGAATGGACTATCCTTCATCATTTGCTAGAGTTAATGGGATGCGTGAAAGGATGACTTGTTTTCCAGAATGTTGTCCAACGATTGTTTTTGCATGAATAATATGTTTCTTGAAATCACTACAAATCATTCTTGTTCCATTGCAAAGACCTTTGGATGGGTCCAGATTCCTCAAAAGCATCACTGGACAATTTCTTTTCAAGATTAACTTATATTGTGGGATACCATTTGGCAACAATATATTTAGGAACTCCTCTTGATAAAATTGGTTTGTATCATCTATTGTGTCGTCAAAGCTAACAAATTTTTCACTTTCTCTAGGAAATAACCCAATTAGTTTGTCATTGAGGCAGTCAACATACTCATTTTTGGTTGAAAGAATTCTATGTTGTGTCATATAATCAGAAGAAGCTTCATTTTCTGTTAAATTCGGGAACGCTGCATTGATCAAGTGTAATTTTGAAGTTTCATCATTCATATTGAGTATTGGAGGTTGATTGCTCTTATTTTTCCATTTTTAAATCGGCATTTTTTAATTCTCATGCATGGGAAAGAATTTTTCGATTGTGTCCTTAAACAACGTAGTTTGAATCTTACTACCCTGAAAATATTATTAAAAATTTGTTTTAAAACTTCAACGGGGTTATTTCTATTGTTGAAGATCTGAATGGAACATTTTCTGAGTATGAATACTTTTATGATCCACTCTTTTTCAAAGGCAGTTGTTTTATAAAAATATGATCGCAACTTTTATTTGGTGACATCAATCCAACAAATATGAAAACAAATTTAAGATATGACAACAAAAATTTATATTAACAATTAACAAAACGGAAAAAAGTTAATATTTTTCAAATTAAATTGATGACCTGACTTATTTTGTTGATCTATTGATGAATCATACCTCATTTCTGTGAGTGATTTCGACGATGATGTATTCATCTGTCAATGTTGCCATCATTCAAAATTAAACAATTCGTGATACAATTAAATCCATGATATTAGAAATCAATTTGAAATTCAAATCTAGATAAATGATAACCAAAAAAAAAAAAGAAGAAGAAGAAAAAAACTTCACAATGATCATCAACTTCGAAATAGATTTTGAGAAACTTTAGCATTAGAAAAATTGCTTTTATTACAATAGTTCTTACCCTTTTATGCTGATTTTTTTACTTATAAATTTTGAGCATAGAATAGAATGAGCAATATTGGTTTTATAGCTATAATGGCATGGGGGTAGAATGAGAAAGGTTGGTTTTGTTAGCTATAATGGTCATAATTATTTTCATATTAAATCCTAGCCAATTTTTTTAAAAATATTTAATTAAAATATAATTATGTTATCTAATTACCAAAGTTAATAAATAATATTATTTTGTTAATCAAAATATGTCTAACCTATGTTTGCCATTAATGTAAAGTTGGACTTACACATTTTAATTCTTTTTTGCCACATAAGAGCCTTTCCATAAAAATTTTAAGAGCAAAATAGTCAGTTGAATATTAAGTCACTAAATTTTCGTTTAATATCTTTTTTAGTAATTGAATGTCAGTTAACTCATATTAAATCCAAACCAAATGATATATATTAATTAAATAATAATTTAATGTAGGAACTATAATGTAAATTATGAAGATTAATAAAGCGTTTGTTGATTAAAAATAAAAAATTTCAGAATAAAATAATCAATTGAATGTTTCCCAATCATTCATACGGAGGGTGAAAGTGATTGGATGTAGAAATGATTATTGCCAATTTTAAAAATCCTAATAATTAGAAGTTATTTAATTTAACATATTTGTAACCTCATTAATATATTAGTGCAACCTTTCAATTTTGCAACCTCAATTAAATAATAACTCATTGCTTAATTTATAATGTAAATCATGAAGATAAGGGCTTCGTTGATGAAAAATAAAAAAATGTAAGGAAAAATTAATCAATTGAAAGATAAGCCATTGAGTTTTCACGTGTTATTTATTTGTTATTATTATCATTATTATTATTATTTTAGTGATCGAATGTCCCAGTTAATATATTACTGCAACCTTTAGCACATTTGTAACCTCATTAATATATTAATGCAACCTTCCAATTTTGTAACGTCAATTAAATTAAATAATAATCTAATGAATGAATTATAATTTATAATTTAAATCATGAAGATTAATAAGGGCTTTGTCGATGAAAAATAAAAATTGTTTTGATAATGAAAAATAAAAATTCAATGGATGAATTATAATATAAATCATGAAGATTAAGTTGATGAAAAATAAAAAATTGCTTTGTTGATGGAAAATAAAAATTGCAAGAACAAAATACACAATTGAATTTTAAGTCACTAAATTTTCATTGATTTATTATTATTTTTTTAATAATTGAATGTCAGTTTCACTCCTTATATTAATTCCAACACAAATGATAAATATCAATTAAATATTTCACCGCTTATATTAATTCTATATCAAATGATAAATATTAATTAAGTTGATAATAAGGGCTTTGTAGATGAAAATTAAAAATTGTAAAGGAAAAAAATCAAATAAATATTAGTCATTGAATTTTCGTGTGTAATTTCTTTTTTATTCATTGAATGTCCTCATTATTATACTAATGCAACCTTTAAAATATTTGCAACCTCAATTAAATAATAACTTAATGGATGAATTTTAATGTAAAGTATGAAGATTAGAAATTGCTCTGTTGATGAAAAATAAAACTCATTGCATGAATTATAATGTAAATCATGAGATTAATAAGGATTTTGTTGATGAAAAATAAAAAATGATTCGTTGGTGGAAAATTAAAAATTGTAAGAACAAAATGGCCAATTGAATCATAAGTCACTGCTTTTTTTCTTTTTCTTTTTTTTTTTTGATATAATTGAATGATAGTTTCACTCCTTATATTAATTCCAATCCAAAATGATAAATATCAATTAAATATTCCACTCCTTATATTATATTAATTCTAAAACAAATGATAAGTACTAATTAAATTGGTATTCCAATTATGAGGCTATAGTGGGCATATAATTAAATATATAGGGGTAAATTTGGTATTTAGCCCATGTTTGATTCCCATTTGGGAGAAATAATGTATTTGAATAGTATATTGATGGAGAATGTGTGGTTAAAAATTGAACAAAAGTTTCGAATTTGTGTGTAATATTATTTTACTAAAAATATATTGTTAAAAATGAATATTGAAAAAATAAATTTTAAAAAGAATGAGAATCAAACGAGGGCTTAAAAGTTTCTCCACCATCCCCATTTTTAATATATTGTAGATACATGTGGAATGTAACAATTGTATAAGGTACATTTGTGAATTGGAATGTGAGACCTATGTGATATTGAGATCGGTGTGAAAAGTATTCATGATCATATACTTCTTCTAGTTCATCGTGGGGCTTTGGTCGTGTTTTATACTACACTGAGGGGTCTTAACTGTAGATGAATGGTTCTTAATCGTGTACATCTAGTTCACTGATGGGTTTTGTTCATGTTTTAGAATTGTTTATGAGAGATCTTAAGACCAATTCTGTTTACTGAGGGGGCTTGAGGCCCGTGTTAGGAGTGATTAGCCTGATGGGCAGTCTACGTACATATGACTAGATTACATATTTTAGTCAGAGGGTATATTTTTTTACAAATTTTTTAGTACATTTGATGTGATGAGATGATTATATAGATTTCAGTTGATTATATCATGATGATGAGATGGCATTTTTCAATATTATAAAGACGTCTCATATCTTGATTACTATTACTACTACTACTACTACTATTATTATTATTATTATATGCTGTTATATTGTGTACCATTAAAGGATGTAAATTTGATTTTTGATAAATATATATAAATGTAAAAGTATATTTATTTTCGAACTTTTCCGTTTATTGAGCTATCAACTTATATGTTTTCCTATAATTTTTCTTAATAAATAGCGGTTGATTTTCTGGACATCTTTTGGAGTTGGACCTTTGATTTTGAAGTCAGAGCCAAATGACAGAATCTGTTAGTATGACTCATTTCATGTAATATGTAGTTAGAGTTTTGGGACACATATTCATTTTTGGATATGACTTAGTGGATGGCTGTTGGGTTCACTATGTATTTTACATCCGTGTGTACATTTCATGTTGTCACAGTAAAAGTTGAGAATTCAGTTTATTTCTATTGTGTTGTATTATTATTGGATTTGTGTATAGTAGATTACAGTTCAATTAGTCCTATTCACAGGAAAAATAATATCGAAATTCTATTAAAAATAATTTCTATAAAGCTGTATATTAGATAATACTAGTCTGTGTTACGTGCGATGCACGAGTTATGCATGAATTATGATTTGGTTAGCGTATCTATTGAATATGTTTGAAAATATATTGGAAGATGGAATTATTGGCAAGGAACTAACCAGTGAATAATTGAGATAATAGTATACATATTGATGTGTTTGATTGTGATTTGTAAATTTGTAAATTCATCGTAAGTAATCATGTGTTTGTATTACAGTCAATGATAGATAAGAGAGAATAGAAATTAACTTCATTTCCATCATTAATTATAGAGTATAACCAAGATAAAAAAAAATAATGACTGATTTTCGACATGGATGATGTAGGGATTACATATACATCATTTGTCATTACTTTCTTGGTTTGGCAATTTTTTATCAGGAAATTATACATACTTAACAAAATAGAATTTCAAGATCAAATTTACAATGAAAACAAATTTCACAAATCGAAATAGCAAAAAATTTACAAAACCACACAGCACTCTTGTCAAAAGGTTGGTTTTACGGAAAATATTTCGACTACCATTTACTCCAGTTTTTCTTTTTGAGCAAGTGGATTTGAGTTTGAATTTATGTTTTCATCACAAGCCATTTTTGAGCTGGAACTCTCATTGGAAGACTTGAAAAGGGCTTTTTTCGCTGGAGGTGACCAATTTTCTTGATAGTCTATACTAACATTTTTCCCAACTGTTGTAACCACAACCTGACTGTCAACGTTTGTTTGGATTTTTGGTTCAAGACTTGCATGATCAATATTTGCTTAAATTTCTTGTCCTGGACTTGGGTGGTCAAAGTCTGTTACAAAGATAATATCAAATTTGTAACTTGATGAATTAGGTTCATTTTGCAATGCTTTCGAGTAGAAAGCTCGTTCAGTATCCTGCATTTTTTTAATGGTTGCTTCGAAATTTGTCTTTGAACCCTGTGTTAATTTTAAATTGTATTAATATTATTCTACTAAAATATATACTGAATGGCAAAATGTTTGAGACAAGTTGGATTTCTTACAAATTTGGTTTCCTCCATCAAAGACTCTGAAGTTGTAAATAATAGTTTCTCAACTGGTTCACCAATTGCATTTGCACTGATTGATCCCGTGACATCTGAAAGCTGTACATATGCTCTAGTCCTAAAGTGAAAAAGAAATTAGTATTAATAGATACAAGAGTAATAAAGAGAAGTAGAAATATGTAAAAAATGAAAAGTAATTAATTGTTAGTGTATTTTACCGAGGAATAGCTTTGGAATTGGGATTTTTGCAAAAAATACAAAGATATGTTTCTCCAAAAGCAACATTCGACCGTCTAAAACAGTTGTTGTAGGCCATGTACCAAGATTTGCTATTAATTTATTGATAAATAGCTTTGGAATTGAGATTTTTGCAAAAAATACAAAGATATGTTTCTCCAAAATCAACATTCGACCAGCTAAAACAGTTGTTGCAGGTCATGTACCAAGATTTGCTATCAATTTTATCTGTTGTTGCTGTGCCATTTACCCAATAAAACTGTCGCTGTTACAGTATGGATATACTTAGAGAAATTACAAGGAAAAATAAATAATATGATTGAGTGTATCTTGTAATTTATATCTCTATATTAGGAAATAAATACAGATTGAATAGCATATGTAACCTTAATGTTACCGTTAGAAGGCGTTCCTGAAGATTTTGAATAGGAGTGAATTTACTTCGTACAGGTGGAGAAAGATTCGTAGGGCTTTTGTTCATGTATGATTTTTTGAATACAAAATCATCTATTTTAATGAAATTTGTTCTTATCCTAATCAAAAAACATGAAAATAATTAGTAACTCCAATAGTAATGTGTGGAAAAATAATTGAGAGGGAGAAAAAAAAGAATAATAAAATATAACACTTTTTACATACCATTCTGTCATTTGTTTTACTGAGTTGAAAGGCGTATTTATGAAGAAAGTGGAATGGACTTTCATGGACAATTTTAAACCTATATAATATCAATATGGAGAATGTGTAAATGATGTAATATATACCTTAAGAGAAGTTTAAATAATACAATAGAACATACCAAATAATGATGTAATCTTTAGACGGGTTGTGAAGATGACTGGCTTTTTGTCAATAATGTTTGCTATCAATAAGCATTCTCTGTCAACAAATGAATTCCAAAGTGTAAGCACCATTGTTTTGAAATTCATGTCTAGAAGTATGATATCTTGCAACCAAATTTGGTTGCCATCTTTGGATTGAATCAATCGTTTGGGTGTCATATCAACTGCAACTGCAAGTATATCTGCAAATTTGAAATAAGCCATCAAATTTTCTTTTTTTTTTTAACATAAGCAGTACGAATTTGAAGGAAACTATATTTCTGTAGAATTAGTATATGACTATTTAATATCTATGAAATTTTATCTTACTTAAATCAGCATCTGTATCCATGTATTGTTCAAGTTCATGAAATTGTGTCAGTTGATATGTTGAGAATACAAACTCTAGATTATCTTCATTCAATTCTTCAATACGAGTTTCTCCAGATATTGTCCATTGTAGAGAGCCAGTCGAATATCTGTAGTTTGTCATATTGTTCTTTACATAAGCTTTCGAAATAGTATAAGTTTTTCCCAGAACAAGTTGATCCTCAAAAGCAGTGATATTGGAATCATATAAGCTTGCCTGAATAGTACTACCCTGAAAAATAATGAAGAACCATATAAATAACTGTAATATACGTGATCTTAGATTAAGAAAAAACACAAAACAAAAAACAAAAAGAAATGAAGAAAAAATGTATGAAGAAGAGTTACCTGAGTATCCATTAACATCAAATGTTGGTACCTTCCATTGCCTTGTCTCGAAGGCTTTGGTGATTGTTTTTCAACTACAATCACTTTAGCTTTCCACTTTTGATTGTTGAAAATAATTTCTGATAGAAGTTGGTATTGTTCTTCTATGGTTGCAATTTCGTAACAGAATAATAGAAGCAAAATACAGACAAAATGAAGATTTCTATGGCAAATGATTTTGAGATAACCAATTGACAAATAAAAGAAAATATATATAGACATGTAAAATTATATCATATTTGGTTTCCTGTACTTTATCTTCTATTCTTAATTTTATTTTTTTATAAAAAGTAATACAAGTATGTACTAAGTAAAATCTTATTATTAGCCATATATACTGTCATAAGTTTTGTCTGCATGAGATATGGAGATTACTTGTAATATTCATTTATTAATAGTACATAAATAACGTGAGTTCAAGGATTTACACTTAGAGCATACGTAAAACTATATTTAATTGGTTCTCACTATTATAAATATAAAAAAGGACGTCAAAATTTAGATTAAAAAAGGAAAAAGATCAAGATTTATACGGTAAAATCTTATCATACCCATACTCTATTGATTTATTTGGATTAGAAAAGGAAAAAGATCAAGATTTATACGGTAAAATCTTATGATACCCATACTCTATTGATTTATAATGACTGAACATAGACATGGGCTGGCAAAGGTTTAAACATGGTACAAGAATGACTCTGAATTAAATTAAGTTGTATTCACCAGGGAAAAAGTATTCATGCTACAAACCTTCATTGTAATTGAAGGAAAATTTGATTCAGTTATTTATTTAGCTTAAATAAATTGAATTGTAATAAATATCTAAATACACGTGAATATGTTGACGTATGATTTTGTGTATGAAATTAAAGAATTCAAACAAAGACGTATATTTGAGATTCTATAAAAGAAGTGACTAGTTTGTATTTCATAACACAACAAAAATACTTCATTGATTGTTGACCAAATGCATAAAACAACAATAATATACAACTCATATATGACAGCCTTTTATCTTGTGGTTGGTTTATGCTCATTTATTATACTTTTAGTTCCAGAAATCTCTACATTTTCAAGAGAAACTCCCCGCAGATTTAAACTGGAGAAGTTCTGAAATTGGCCGGAAAAGATAACAATTTTACTTAGAAATTTACAGTTGAAGAAACTTGCATATATCTGCACAGATTTGTGTATGGGCAACAATTTTACCCATAAGAACTCCGTGATTATGGAGACCCAAGCCTTAATGGGTCTCCATTATTACGAAGGCAAGCAGCCTTGCCTTCGTAATCCGGAGGCTTGGCCTCCATAATCACGGAGGCCTTGCCTCCGTGATTATAGAGGTCAAGACCTTCGTGATTATGGAGGCCAAGTCTCCATAATCACGGAGGTGAGGCATAATTTTGATGTCATAAGTTGTTTGAATTGTCTAGACACGAACATAAGATATTTTATTATCGATTTTAATAAATTTATGCATGTATAGGTTATGAAGATATAATGTTTATTTGGAACTCTTAAAAAATGTTTCTCTATTTTTAATTTTTAGATTCATTCATAAATAAGATGTGATTTTTCGAGTAATTTATGCAGATGTCTCTAGAATACATAATTTCTTCGGATTAATGGTTTTTTGCTACAATTGTCTAGTATCCAAATTTTGAATATTTTAAAAACTTTGTACAATTTTTAGATTCGAATGAGCAATTTTCGTTGATGTGTAGTAATTTTTATGGATTTCTTAAATGTACAATTTAGTAGTAGGTTGGTGCATGAATTTATATTGAGACTTGTGAATTGTGGAAAAAATGATGAAATTTGGGTAAGGTTAGACAATCATTTAGCCAAATTTGGTATGCAAGAATTTTGTCTTATTACTGGATTATCTTGCCATGAACCATCCATTGACATTAATGATACAAATGATCGTTTTAAAAATCAATACTTTAATGGTACATATCAAATCAGTATGAAGATGCTTTATGAAGCATTCCATGCGTGCGGACATGAAGAAGATAAATTGAAACTTGGTTTAGTCATGTTGATCGAATGTGTGTTAACATCCACTTCAAGACAAATTGATTATAGAACTCTTGGTATGGTTGAGCATTTGGATGAGTTCCTTGCATATCCATGGGATCGCAAAGCATATTTGATCTTGTTATATTCATTTAAAGTATCACAATCTGAAAGAATACAAAGATTGCAACGGAATGAACAAACAGAATGCAAGTATGCGTTACATGGGTATCCACGTGCATTCCAAGTAATTAGTCCCTATTATTGTATTGACTTATTATGTACAATATATTCCCATAAAAATTTTTTGTACATATAATGTTTATTTTTTATTATTTTGCAGTATTGGATATATGAAGTATTTTCAAAGATTGGAAAGAAATTTGGACATTGTAGACATAAAAAACCACAGTGTCCAAAAATATACAAGTGGAAACCCAACCAATTTGTAACTGAAAAAGAGATAAAGTTTTTTTTTTGGTCTACTCGTAATGTATGTTTTTATAAATGTACAATTACTGTTACATTCAATTATCTTAAAATAAAATTAAATTCAAAATAAACGATTTTGATATTTCAATTTGATTAAAGATTCAAGTGATTGCTGTGCTACAACCTAATGAAGAAGAATTACAAAGTCTTTGGTACGGAACTCTTTCACTGCCAGTGGATAATAGACACAACAGATTAGATGAGATTGTAAATGGAGTATTGGATAATACAGTAGAACAAATCCCAGACAATATACATGTACAAAAAACGATGATTCCCGGTACTTCTACATCTTCACTTGTATTTGGGTCTAGCTCTGTTCCCAGTAGCTCCAACTCCTTAAGTGAAGATAAAATGAAAGAATTGTTGGGTATCTACAGGCAACGCATAGCATCAGACGTGTCTGGTGTATATAGCAACTTGAAGGCAGAATTTGCTGATGAATCAAGAGCTCACCACCATGCGGTTCTTGAAAACCAAAAACAGTTATTTGAGGAGCAAAAAAATGGCAAGAAGATTACATGCAGCATCATTATCAGATAATTCTTGACAACCAAAGGCAATTTTTCGAACAGCAACAGAAGTGACAAGAAGATAGATATCAGGGTATGCAATCTTATATTGATACCAATTTAAGTTCAATGAGATCCTATGTCGATGAACAAAATCAGGAAACACTGAACACATTATCTGAATGGAAATCAAACATGGAAGCCATCATAGGTTCCATGCAACAAAATGTCCTTCTCGACACAAGTGTTTTTCCTTGCGATAAACCAAATGAGATATCAACAGCTGAACAAATTGAGAGCTCTAAAAGGTCGATAAAAGAGAAGAAAAACAAGGGGAAACAAATACAGTCTTCATCATCTTCAGATCGTCCTCTAGAAGACTATCATATGCAAAGATACATAAAAATTAGAAATTTTATAGCGGAGAATCAATATGGGTAATAAATCTAATTTATTTGGAATTAATTAAAATTATGTCATACAGTGCATACTTGGACTATGGCAGTAACAATGTCTTTGAAAAAGACATGTTGAAAACTCTAATGGATCAAACACGGGACATAAATATTGATGTAAGTAAAGTCTATGAATTATAATAGATTTTATTTCATAGTCGATATATATAATCTAATTTATATCTATTTATTTTATCAGAACATTAAGTTAGAGTTAAAATTATTGAGGCGACTCATGAATGATGGTTGTCCGCTTGTTTCAAAAGAATATGTAATTATGGATTTCAAATTTGAAGCAGAATGTGCTCGTCAAATGATATGGCA